TCTGCTGCAGCTGACAGCCTTTGGCCGTCATTTACGCACCTGCCTCATCCCGAAAAAAATGACTCTGTTCAGTTCAAGGCCACCCAGGACTAAGTCACTTCCTCGCGGTACAGGTGGAAGCGCGGCTGCTCCCTTTCACCAGCCGGTTTGCGTGCCTACGGCAAAGGCAAGCTGCTGTCCTCCTCCGAGGTCTCTGCACCCCCACTGTCCCTCTCGGTCTCTGCAGCACAGCTGGCAGCCTCCAGCCTCCTTCTCTTCTTCAGGTGGTGCAGGTGGGATTTGGATCGTGTGTGAGCTGGAGGAAGAGGCAAACAGAGCATTTAATTCTGGGGAACCTGGAGAAGGAAACACCCGACGCGATCCCTCTGTGCAGTGCAGAGCAGAGCACCCTCCCTTCCCATCCTCCGGCGCAATTCATTCCCACAGAAAAGTGAACTCCCACGCCCTGCCCTGGCCGTTTCTCAGGACACCTCTAGGCCAAACTATCGGGGCTCAGAGGGGCACAACACTTCCAAGCCTTCTCCTGACCAGAGGAAGGACTGGGAGAGGGAAAAATCCTGGTTCTGTATATGCAGGAGACTCCAGATTGTCAGGACTTGACTCTCCCAGCAAGTGTGGTCACAACCGAGACACGATGCCGGGAGGATGGGAGAAAGGGAAGCGTTACCAAAGAGGCGGCACATTGCAGGATGCGGGCGAGGTTGTGCAACTCTCTGCCACCCCATGGAGCGCTGCCAGGATCATTTGTAAGCCTAGCTGCCTGCACCACAGTACTAGGGATATCCTGTACATCTACAGAGCAGCTAGGGACTGAGCCCAGAGCATAATTACGCTTTTGCATAACTCCAGGGCAAGGCCCCCAGCTACGAGAGCACATCAGCAGGAGTCGGTTGGGAACAGAGGCGTAATCCCAGGGATGCAACTTGTACTGACACAGCGGGGCAGCAGGAGTGGCATTTCTGTTTGAAGTCACATACTTAAGGACAGTAAAACCTCCCGTGTCAGTGGTATTATCTAAGTAGAAGGTGCTTTGTCTAACTAGACCAATGTACCATCTTAGCAGGGCGGGTTTGCTATTTCCAAGACATCAGAGCAGCAATTAAAGCAGCAAACTTTTCAAGCAGGGCCTTAATTAAACAAGGGTATGCGCTCACTGAATCAAGGCCCTCAGGTGTTTTCCAGTCATCCTTTTCTGCCAAAGGATGAAATTACATGCAGCGCTGCTGCTTTATCACAATGCTGTAGGGTCACCCTCAGCTTGAAATGAAGTCTCACCTCTTACAATTTGTTGCAAGCAACACCAAAGCTTACAGTGGCTGGAAGAAGCGCTGATTTCTGCTGCTGTTTGGGGAGGTGCGCTCTTTTAAATCCATACAAATTGTAAAATTAGACAAAAATTTAAAATCTTCCAGAGCCAGTGGTGTACTGGGAAGCAGTTCCCAGAACTATCTTTAACTTGACTTAAGAAAACAGACCAGATTGCAGATCAGCTCAGCTCCCACTACTGTTTTCACTTCCCTTTGAGCTTTCACATTTTGCAGTTACAAGTAACACCCAGGTTTTGGACCATTTTTCTCCCACTATCTGGGGATTTGAGCCAAATTCAGCTGGATGCAGAGAACAACCGCTGGTCTTGGTTGAGAAAGGTATCGTCATCATCTATCAGAATTTGGGACAACATCCCGAGAGGACATGTAGATGCAGCTGTGGTGTTCAGGGGGATCTTGGGGGTTCCCACTCAGTCACAAAATAATGCTGGACCTGGAAGGATGGCATGGACCCCAACAGCTTTCAGAGTCCTCTACTTCTGCAGTAGGTAGAGCTCCTTCAAAGCACCTCCAAGCTGAGACAGCTTAGACCGGCTAACATAACAATGACACTGACAAACCGATCTCACTACAATGAGCTTCCTAGTCTGAGCCAACTTCCATCTTTGCTTTCGGCAGTTCCACGGCTCAATAGGAATGAGCGACTCATTCAAATCCGACAACCAATGACCTGGGAAATTTATCTTTGCATTGTGCCTGCATATACTGGATTTGGGCAACACATGGAGATTTACCAGTTTCATTTCTGCAGCCAGTTTCTCCACTACTTTTTGTTTCTGGTTCTCAGCATGACCCTCACAGCACAGATAAATTCACTGAGTTAATCTGATTCCAGCTGAGCTCTTTTAAAGTAAGTCTATTGAAAATAGAAAATCCCTTTCTATTACCATTACAGCTAGGAATACTTTTTCTTTTTTAAAAACCCACACAAATCAGAGATATTGGAGCAAAACTGAGCTATTAAAAACATTAAGAAACTTTCATTTTACACAACAAAATTTTAGAAGAAACAAATTTGTTCTGTGCTTTTTGACAAAGTACCTAAAGTGCTGAAAAGGACCAGCAGCCCTGACTAAACACAGACAGCTCTGAGGCTTGATGCTACGTATAGATCCCCATGTCTGGTGTGACGACAGAGAGTGGCAGTGTTTACTGGGTGCCGGGGAAGGGGGGGAAGCCCGACAGATGGCTGCTGTGGCACAGCTCTTGCACCCCCTCTGGGCTTGCAAATGGCTGCTTTCACACACGGGCTGTAAACAATCCTTGAAAGCCCAAGATCATGTGCTGAGGGTCATCCGGCCAAGCAGAGACAGCCAAGGAAGCCGCTCTGCTTCGGAGAACTGCCTCGCTCCATCCCTTCACATTACTGCGCTCGCTGTGCCCCCTCCCAGGTCCTCTCCTCTCCCCCTTGCTGGATCCTACCTGCCCACTCCCTGTCCCCGATGATGACTCTGTCGCAGAGCTCACACACGCGATGACTCCGTTTGTTCTCGTTTACATCATACTCCATTTTCACAGGCTCTGCTGGGGGCTCACGTCCCTGTAGATTAAATAATGTCTCAGATTGGTTTCTACTATGAAAATTTGCTTGGTTGTGCTCACTTTGGTAGAGTTTGGGATGTGAACTTGCCATACCCAGACACTAAGGTTAGCAGGACAGACGCTGCAGTTTTATCGTGCAAGACAAGCAGAGTACTGAGCATTAGGAGAAATTTTCAGCTTACACAACAACCCTCTGTCACTGCGAGGAAAGCCCAAGGCTGGACATGTGAGCAGACAGCCCCGCTCATGGGAGAGACTAAGTGCCGAGTTATGGGGCTTGGAGACCACCGAGAAGTTGGCTTCTCAGTCACGGCTCACGTGTTAACTCCAGTTACCCAGTACCTGGATGAAGCTCTCCACAATCTCCAGAGCAGGTTTCAGCACATCCTCATCCCACCGCAACAGATCAGACACCTCCAGGCCATACACTGGGGGCACGTTGGGCCCAGGACCTATGGAGACACAGAAAGGCAGGTCACCACCAGAACCCCCCCAGCATCATGTCCCAGCACCCATGGGGCTACGCTGTGAGCAGGGGCAATCTGCTTTTTCCTATCTAGCTGCCCTTTAGCATTCAGAAGCAAATGGCACCAGCCTTTCCAGAGCCAAAATTACCAAAGACCTCAGCATGGGGGGGCAATACCCTCGCCAACAGCAAGAATGCCTAAGAACTCAAGCAAGCATCTTCATGGTTGTCTGCCTTCGGGACAGCATTACAAAACCCGAGCATGCCAACAGCCCATCACAACAACAAACACTTCATCGCAGCTGTGGTCCACAGGAGGCCGCAGAAGATCAAAAAGCTAGATCCAGGCACAAAGCCATCACACAAAGCTTACAAGGAGACGCAGGCATGGAGTCTGGATGAGGAATCTGCAGGCGCAGGTTCCCACTCCGAACTGTAATTGCTTGTGCGGCTGCGGGAGCCAATGCTCCCAGCTCCCAGTAGCAGGGCACAGCGGGAGATGCTTCACTAATGCCTCAAGCTGACAAGGCACAGTTTCAAAGCCACCCCTTTGGCCTCCCTCAGCCCGGTGCGAGGGCACGGGGTGCTCACTGCAGCCCAGCCAGGGCAAGACAGCTGCAATCAGAGAGCACCCGCTCTCTCCGGCGACATCGCTGCCCTGCTGCGGCTCACCTGCCCGCAGACATCGGGCACACGGCCCTGCTCGGACAAAGCCATCAAAGGCTGCCCCGTGCCAGTTTCCAGCAGGTGCTGCTTTTTATTGCTGTAACCACAAACAAGTTCCCGACAGGGCTGATCTGAAGCACACCTGCCACCAGAAAGGTGAGCCACAGCCACCAAGCACATGGCTCCAGGAAACCTCTAGCACCTCGTTCAAAGCCTGTCTTTTGATTCAAGTTTCTCCCTGCCCCTTTTTTTTTTTTCTTCATTATTTTATTGTTGTTTTGCCCCTACCAAGCACCTTTCAACAAGTGCCCGGCTCCCAGCTGCTGCTGCTGGCCCTGCTCCAAGGCTGGGGCTGGGACGGGGAAGTCCTGCTGGCTCCTGGCCACCGTGGCGAGCGTGGCCCCGGCTAAGAGCAGCCCATGGGGTCCCGCTCTGGAGGGCAGCTGTCAACCGGGCCTTTCGCCTTGCACAGGGAGCACATGCGGGTGCTTGGAGAGAGGGACTGTGCTGGGCACCCCCTCCCTGAGCCCCTCAGGAGCCGTCGGCAGGATAGACTGCAGGGATGCTGCAGCCATCATCACCTACCGCTGCCTGGCACAGGGCTGAGCCTTTGATTGCTTTGTTCTGTTGGCCTATCAGCCCTCCTGATGGCACTTCTGTTGAGAGGGGAAGATCTTCCCTTGACAGGCAGCCAGGGGTACACGGGAAGCAGTGAGAAGGAGCTGGCTTCCTGAGTGTCTGGGCAGAGAGGGTGTGGGCAGGATAAACATGGACAGTGCCAGGTGGGCTGTCTTGGGAGGGCCAAGCAGCTGCTCTGCAACCCAAACATGTGGGAAGGAATGGGGGCAGAGCCTTGTGAGTGGATTGGGGCGCTGGGTGCCGGTGGCAGAGACCTGCAGAGCCAGGGCAGCCTGGGCCAGCAGGAAGAATTCGGGCAGGATCGTCTGATCTCTGCCAGACTCATGTCTGCCCCAACACACGTTGCCACAAAGCACCAGACCCACCACTCTCCTCTCTTGAGCTGGGAGCAGGGGATGCACTAGGAGGGATGAGAAGAGATGGAAGAACAGGGATGGCAAGGTAGCATAGGAACAGAGGACTTACGTCGCAGGAAGCGGTTTCGGACCCATTTGTTCTGCCTCCGGGCGTATCTCTTGGTCACCTGTTTCAGGGCCTGAATCCCTTTGAAATAAAGGGATTAAAAAAACCCAAAGGTCAGTGCCATGCTGCAAGCTGAGCTCAGAGCAGAGTGAGAAGAGGCTGTCGGCTCAGGTCGGGGGAAATCACACAAGACAGAAGTTTATGCTGGATGGTAGCACACTCGCTTAAGAGAAGTATTTCTACTGTCAGTCTGGAGGTCTCCAAGCCAACAGTGAGAAGTGGCCATCAGAGTGAAGAGGCTGAGCCCTGCCAGACAGTGAGGGGCAGCGGTAGAGCAGAAGCGCTGGACAAGGTGTCCCAAATTATCCCTGAACGAACACTGGGTGGGAAGGGCCTAACACCTAAGCCCTGAAGATTTTAGCAGGTTGGACAATCTGTTCAGGGGCTGCACTACTCTCATAATGCCTAACTGAATACTTCTCTGTGCAAATGGAGCCCAGGGCTATTTGTCGCACCCACAGTGGGCCCAGAGGACGGTTTACCACTGTACAACCTTTCAATACTTGGTACCAAACTTATCTTATCCCTCTCTAATCATCTCCTGAGCAGACACAACAAGTGTCTCCTGCACCAGACTTGTTTTCAAGCCTTTTATCATTTCTGTGGTTTCCTCAGTCTCCACCTCTACTTCGCACTGAACCCTCCTCAACACAGATCGACTCTGCCTGGGACCTCCGCTGTGCTGAGAACAGAGCAGGTCTCTCCTCTAACAACAGCACATCAGTCCAGACACTCCAGAATGAAACATGTCATCAAAGAGTGCCTCACTATTGACTCATGTTGTGATCCACTAGATCCCCAGATTCCTTCCTACCACAATGCTGCCGAACCAGATGCTGAGTTCTGCTTCATTCCTTCTTTCTAGCCCTGTTCTCCACAGCATTCACACCCCAGCTGGGATCCCATCACCCAGGTCACTAGTGGACCAGCTCCAGATCCCAGGTCACGCTGTGCCCAGTACACCTCACAAGGAGGCCTGGGGGAAGGGAGGGAGGAATTGCTCTGGAAGGAATTGCTGAAAAATGAGTCCCTGCTCTCCCTGGGCTGGCAGAAGTGGAAAATGCATAGGGAAGGGTGCAGCTCAAGCCCAACAAGACCTGCCCCAAGGTTTGAGCTTGGTTCAGACCGTCACACAGTGTCACCTGGAGCTGCGCGGGGCTGAGGGGTGTAGGGCATGCAGGGTGCTCCTCCCACCTTTTTGCAGCAGCAGGGCACTGGTCTCGGGTGAGCAATTCCCCTCACTGACGAGGTACTCGTGGAACTCCTTGAAGCCAATGGACTGGAAGATGCCGTGCTGGTAATCCTGCCTGGAGAACAAGACAAGAGGCAGGGGTCAAGGCCATCTCCTTCAGAAGAGTGGGAGACCTCAACCCTCCCCAGAATAGCTGAGATCTCTGCGTCTAACCCTGCAGGGACCTCCCCAGGTGCCACAAGCCCATGGCTTCAGGGGACAGGGCAAGCTAGGCACACACAGGAACGCAGACCAGTGCCTTCAGTGCCACCCCATGTCAGCTTTCCTGTATGAACACTCAGGCAGCGCCAAGTAATTTTTACTGAGGGGAAATGTCACCGCTTGGCAAGTATAGTCCAGGCAAAATTAATTCAACATTAAGACTCACGGGGACTCTGCTGTTTGACCAACCCTGGTCTAAGGGTTCTGGCAGGGAAGATCAGGAAGTGCTGGTGGATCTGGCTGGTTCAGGCCTCTCCGCTGACGGTGCCTCCGCAGAGGCAGGCACCCATCCCGTCTGCTGGCCCTGCCTCAGGAGCAGACGCTGCCAGGAGAGGGCTGGGAGCAGCAACACGTTGGAGATGCTGCAGGGAGAGTTGGTCTGGTCCCTGCAAGGGTTTGGCAGGTGGGAGTGGGAGCAGAAAGGGAGCTGGCTTCTCACCCACCGGTTCTCAGCCACCTTCTCTCGGTTGTAGCGTCGGTGGAAGTCCCGCAGTTCCTCTAGCAGTCCCGCAGCCAGCATGTCATCCACCCGCTTCTCCAGCCGCTGGTCCAGAGCTGGGAGGAGGAGAGCACAACACGCTCAGCCGCTCGGAGTCGTGGCCTCGGGAGGCCCACACCTGGACTATGTGCCAGGATGTGGTTCGGTACTGCCAGCCTCCTGACCCACCTGAAGAAGGCAGAGCCCAGCCAGCAAGAGGAGCAAGTCCTCTGTCGTGCCCGCTGATGCCAAAGGAATTGCTGCCTTGTTCAGGGTGGAGACTGCACAGAAGCAGGGAGTCAGCCCTAATCCTGCATCACTTTACTCAGCCAGCCAGGAGCCTACTCTCACCTGCCTGGTCTGCATGGAGCCACAAGATGCAGGAATGTGGGTATTTCAGGGGCCCACCTAAGGGCCCCCCACCTTCCTCCTCCTGCTGCTGGTGCAAGATTTCACTATGGGGGATCCCCGTCTCTTCAAACACTTGGAGGCTCCTGTAAGCAGAGACAGACAGAGCTCAGAGGCTGGGTGAGGGTGAGCTTTTCCATTTCCCCAGCAGCCCTGGGGGCTCCGGCAAAAAGAACCGCAGACACTTGCTGCGATCCAACCCTCTCATGTGGGGGGAGGGCAGGTTTCTGCCCCCTCCCATGCCCGGCATCCCAAGCACACCCAGGTCCTGGGGGTGAAATGCAGCGAAGAGCACAGCAATGGCACCCAAGGAGCCCAGAGCACAGCCACCCACTCCTGCCTGGCAGCGGGACAAGCCCTGCAGGGGAGGGGGTTCTGGCCCCAGCCCTGCCCTTTCCAGCCAGGCAGGGCTGGGGGGAAGGGGCCAGCGCTGCCAATGCTGCGAACCATTACTGCCAGCTCAGCCCAGCCCAGCCCAGCCAGGGAGGTGGAGGAAGCTGCACTTGGGTGCCCAACCCTTCAACCCCCTGCACCGTGCGAATGGGGTGGGCGGTGTTCTGCTCCCCCAGGGCCAGGGCTCGGCTGGGATGGGCCCGCCAAAGCAGCAAGCCTGGTCTTGCTGCCATGCTGTTCCCACAGAGCTCAGGTATGCTACTCAGCCAGCACGGCAGCTTGCTCTTTAAATAGCTCCAGATAAACCCTACTGCTGGGGCACCGCAGCGGGAGCAGCCCCGGCGCACACAAGCCAGGAGCAATGCGCTGTTCTGAACCCCAAAGGCAATTCAAGACAGGGGCTGCGTGGCCAAAGGTCTCAGATCCCAGAGAGTTCCCCAACGTCAGTGCTCCAAGGTCCCCAAGCACCTTGCTAAGGGATTAAGAGCACCCGCCTGGGATAGGAGAGCCCATCCTGCCATGTTCCCAGGCACACAATTCCCTCGGGAAGGGGTGTTGGGCCCTGGCACCCCCTGTCCCCAGCACACCAAGCTCACCTGGCCAATTTGCGCTTGTCGTGGGGGTGTAGCTTGGCCGCCATCTCTGGGTCCACCTGGCTCAGGCGGCGATGAAGCTCAACGCCATCCAGCTGCTCCAGCTCCACTTTCCTGTTGGTGACCGGCCTGGGGGCTGTGCTGGCCTTCTCCTGTGGGGCACAAGGCAGTGCTGAGTCAAGGCACTCATCCCTGTGCAAGGCCAGCACAGACCCATACAGTGACTGAGGGGCTTTTGGTTCTCCTTGACCCACTCTAGCAGGGAGAGCACCCTGCCCAGTCACGGGAAGCCTTCCCTGAACGTGGGGCTCACCCTTTCCCGGAGGGATCCCCAGCCCCCCAACGGTACCTTGGTGTTGATCAGGACCTTCCAGAGCAGCGACTCAATGTAGTAGTTGGTTCCTCCCACAACAATCGGGATCTTGTCTCGGGCAAAGATATCTTCAATGTGCCACAGTCAGGGAGTGTAAGCAGAGATGCAGAGCAGGGAGGAAGGGCCGTGGGGAGCAGGAGCCTGCGGCCCAGACCCCATTCTCCCAGCCCCAAGGAGCCACTGAGGCTGCAGGTCAGGGTTATAAGTGTCCCTCATCTCTCATTATCCTCTGCTACCCAGGTCAGCTACCACTAAAACTCAGGGACACCCAGGGACTGCCAGGGAGGGCAATACCTGGCTCAGCACTGTTGCGGTGCAGCAGAGATCTTCCCCAACCAGCCCTGAGTAGAGGCTGCCCAGAGCATCAGTTGGGTAAAAGCAGCTCCAAGCCCCCCTCACCAGCAGTATCCTCTGAAAAACAGTTGGTTGCAATGTGTTGAGCCCAAGGCTGACGCAAACACTGATCTCTCTTGCAGGCCTGGCTGTGGAGGGGAGAAGTCCATATCTGCTCGGCCAGGCAGGCCGCAGCGTGAAAGGATATCAGAGCCACAGCTTTGTCTCTGAAATCCACCACTGTGTAGTTAGAGACAAGGGGATCCACAAAGCTGATCATGTGGTGCCTGCACAGACGCTGATCCTGGGGAGAAACCTTGTTCGTGATGATGTCCAAGCCCTTGTACACCTGGGGAAGAGAAGAGCCTGTCATACACCTCAGCATCCCGTGAAACTCTCAC